GGTCACAATTCTATAATAAAATTTACAAAGAATTGTCTTAGATATTTTTTTTAACATCCTTTTATCTCTAATATCTATTTAATTTTTTTTAAAAATATATATATATATATGTTGGGCCCACTTAGCCCATTTAGCCCGCGGGCCGATCCTTACAAAAAGCCCGTTTAGACCGTGCCCGTTTAATTTGGGAGCGGGACCGGAACCGTTTGGACCGGCCCACTCGGCCCGTTTAGGCCCGGGACCGGCCCACTTGCTAGCCCTAGCTATATTATTGAGTATCTGTGCATTTATATACATGTGTTATTCCTAACAAACTAACACGTGGACTACCACAACTAATTATAAGTTACAACTAACTCCACTAACTCATGTACAGCTGGATATGAGCTGGACATCTACATACACAGTCAGCTTCATATATGCCAATAGCTGCGTTATGTTTTATAGTTCAATCATTTTCGAGTTTGCCCTCTACATTGACTTTAATTTTGCCTGTCCCATTATTATTTATTTCTTTGCTAAATCTTGCCAGATAATGATAAAGTCTGACATATTTTGTGACTTGAAATACTTTTCCTCAGAGGATAATGAACATATTCCTTACAGCATATCTTTACTGTACTATGAGTAAATGTTGATATCACATTAAATCAAATATATTTTACGGAGATGCAGTGGCCATTACTCATCTAGATTGAACTTTAAAATTCTCGAACAAGCCACCCTAAGTTGCACATCCGAGGTATCAAGTACCAATTTGGTAGATGGTGCTCATATTTTTATTGCTCTCCGTGAGCTGTTAATAGCGAGTCCAAAGATAAATATAGATTATTGTGGACATTGGAACATCAAACTATTAACATATCGGGCATAGTCCGTGCATAGCACGGGCACAACCCATCTACCATATTGATAATGCACAATTTGTGTGGTCTTCAAGGATGTTCGCACTTTAGTATACTTGAATAAGATTACTCAAATTAACACTTCCTCATGTTTAAAAAAAGAAAAAGCATTCTCACAGATATTTGAAAGTAAAAATATCACCCATGTCGGGCTGGTGCATTGTACGGGGCATCCTATTTGATTGCTCCCGTATCATTTTTTTTTTTTAAAAGAAATTTTAACTAGTACCTAAAGTATAGATAACTTTAGGTCTTTTCCTCCTCCTTCTCCCCCTTTTCTTCTTCTTCTTAGTCGCCGTGAAAACAAAGGTAACAGTGAATTTACATTGTATTAATGAGCAATTTTTAAGGCGATTTATGGTATTCTACGGTTGTGAGCTGTTGTGGCTCTCCTTTCTTTGCTACTGCTTAGGTTTCTTCTTCTTCTTCTTCTTAATTGCAAAATGGGTTTGTTAAATTTGTTGTTTTGATAAATTGATGATTGCGGTTTTCTTTTAATAATATTTGGAGGTTATGTTTCAAATTTGAACTCATTTGAAGTAGTTTTAGGTATTGAATCATATTTTGGATTGAGTTTGTTAGATTTATTGTTGTTTTGACAAATTGATGATTACAGTTTTCTTTTAATAATATTTGGAGGTTATGTTTCAAATTTGAGCTCATTTGGAGTAGTTTTAGGTATTGAATCGTATTTTGGATTGTTGAAATTCAAAGAAGTTTCTATTACTTGACAATTTGCACTTCAGACCTATTTGACATTAAATGCATGAAAACATTGGTTGTACTTCAAACCTATTTGTCCTTAAATGCAATTTTTTTCCTTTGGACCTATTTGGCCTTAAATGCATCTTAAACATAATTTTTGCACTTAACTTAATTGGCCTTAGGTGCATTGCACTTCAGGCTAAAAAAAATTTCTTCAACTTCAAACCCAATAAATATGGAGTTGATCCTAAAGTGGTCTAAGACTTGCAAATTTTTGTGAAAAGTGGATATAACTTTAATAATGACCCCAAAATTGGGTATAGATACAAATGCATCAGCTACCCTTGCTAGTTTATTAATATATATGGCTTCCAGATTTTGCATAAGTCCAGGAGTGGAAGTACTTCATCGAAAAATTTATAATATGTATATGTTTGCGGGCACATTTATGCGAATCCTCGAGACGAGCAAGCAGCTGCGCATTATTTGGAATTAACGACCTAAAGAAATAGAATGGAGTCCTCAAAGGTATTTACATAAACCGTTTCACCAACTGCACTTTATTTCCTCATAAATCACATTTAACAGATAATGTCAACATTTGAACAGGCATCATTTGGGATTAGACACATACACATGTATTCAGATTGACCAAAAGAGGAGTATTTATCAATCCTAACTGCTGGAAAAAATGCAGGATATCCAGGCACACTTAGACATTCAGTTCTCCAACTTCCGGGCTCAAAGGTTCAAAAAGAGCTTCCACCTCAGTAAGGTTAACTTCCTCCAAGCAAGACGGATTCCACTTTGGACTCTGAAAACAAAATCATCAAAGGTTTTAGTTTCATGCACGTTGTAACTCGTCTCTATCGACAATACAATATGGTGGGTCTAACAGGACAATCAAGCTGCATTATTGGGAAAAAAAGAATAAATAAACCAGGAACTTTATTCAATCTTTAAGAAAACGAAATCACGCCTCAACTACGCTCAGTCGAAATTCCTTACCAGAAAATTCACTACACTAAAGAAACCACAAACCCAACATTTATGCAGTTACAGTATCATGGGCTTGCAACGCAAGAAACAAACCTGATCCTTTTCCATTAAGACTGCTCGGACACCTTCAGCAAAGTCGCTCCGTAGAGCAGACCTTATAGCAATGCGATATTCAGTTCTCATGACACCATTGAGCTGGGAATGACAGAAAAGGGAGATTATAACGTTCGTGAAAAGGAAAGAATCAATATGAAGAAAAGTAGGAAAACTACACAACTTAGAGAGAAGCTCACACTGGACAAGTCATTCTCATTTTTACCACGTGCAGATGCAACTCTAGAAAAAAGCTTTTGGGTGAGACAGAGAGAGAAAGGGGCCCCCTTTCTGAGCCCTTGCAGAGCATCCTTGGCCCATTCTACCACTGTCAAGAAGATGAACTCACACATGAAAAATGAAAATAAAGCATGGCTCTAAAAGTTTACTCATTGATAGGAAAATAAGATACAGGATTCATTTATGGAGAAAAAATAGTATAAAATAGAGAGAACATGAATTCATCTAAGAGAAAAGTCTTATTTGTAAAACCTTACCCAATGTATCAGCACTTTGCAGATGATTTTCTAGCTCCTCTATTATCTCTCTAATGGACTTGTTACCAGCAAAAGTAGAAATAATTCTGGGTAAAAGTGACTTCAAACGGGGTTCTGAATCAGGGTTGCTACTGTATTTTGCCAACAATTCTTTTATCTCCCCATCTGGATCCTCAGAGCTGTTTTAAGAAGACAGAATAACCTATTTTAAATTTGCAACATGTAACTGAAATGATTTGTATCAGTAGCACAATACACATTTATCAGAAGGCATAAGAAACAATGATCTGAAGCATCTGAGGAACAGAGGAACAATGCTCTATACCAGATGTGCCTCATGAAATGATGATTGGGGTCCAGCAATAGAAGCACTAAAAAAGCTTCAAACATTGGGACAAGAAGTTTACTCAATTTGGGGAATCTCTTCCTCCAAGGCAAAACATTAAAGGATTTGAGGAGAAAAGACACAACTCAAGGTATGTCAACATCAAAGGTCTTTACAAGCACTATAAAGTGCAAAAATATCTTTTATTCGAGCAGCATAAATAAGATAAAGGGACTCAAAGGCCAAGGAGCTGTTCACGTCTCATGGATATGAGTAATTAGTCAAAAATTTGACAATTAGTGCACAAGAGAATAGTGCAAGATTTTGAGACATACAATTTAGTTGCAAGCAAAGCTTCCTTCAACGCACTCAAATTTGCAGAAGGGACATAATGAGTTCCCAGACCAACATAGAGTGCATCAGCAGGTGTTGATATCCTACTTCCAGTCAGTGCAAGATAAGCACCTGCAATTGCTTAATTGATTAAGCAAACACATACGGAAGGAGTGGGAAGATAGTTCTATGAACCACACATATATCATTTTCATCACTTTCTCCCTCTAACAAGATACAACAACTATGCCTCAGTCCCCCAACAAAGTTGGGGTCGGCGATATTTATTCTGACTTCGATTCAAATTGCATTTGTCTGTCCAAGTACCAATGAAGAGACGAGCAAGCCTAAGTGCCAATAAAGAGAAAATGGTCATTCAGCTTCTAAAAGGTGCTTTAGGACTAAACGAAATTAAAAAGATAATAAGTAATTAAATTTTCAATTTTTTGATGCAAAAGAAATAATAACTTCCCAATGCATAAAAGGGATGTGCTTATAAACACCAAGCTGAAATGCATGAAGTGGTATGAGGTGTTTTTTCTTCCTAAAATTCATAAAAGCAGGAAAATCACCTCAGATACCCTCCAGAAATTCTGAAATGTTGGTCATAATTCCTACCTCTGCATTTTGGAAGCCCAATCACTAGCATTCAATATAACATACAGACACTGATGAGAGCATGCTTCACTTGCTCTCTTTAGCACCTAGATATTCTTCAATACCTTTTGCAATCTTCCATGCAAGATGAGGGAGATCAATTACCAAGTCAACTCCTATAGTCTCATCTTGTTAACAAAAACTTAAGCTATTAGTTATGAGAGAGATCCATCTGTCTAAACATGCCTCCAGTTATAGGAGTTTCCATCTTTTATTTCTCTCTGAAGTTTCATGCAACAAGATTGGTCTTTGAAATTTTCTCAGCAAGAAATACTCAACTGAATAGAAGAAAATATACCAACTGTGCCTTCTCCAGGACCATGTGCTGCTATATAAGAAAAACCAACATCTGGAAACAGCCCAATTCCATTTTCTGGCATCGCTAGAACAGTCCTCTGGAACCCAAAAAAAAGTGTAACTAAGATGTACTTGCAAAAATGAGTAATCCTCCATAGACGTAGAAAAGTACCTCTGTGATAAGCTTGTAACGACCATGACCAGATAAACCAATTCCAAAGCCCATTGTAACGCCATCCATGAAGCTGATGTAAGGCTTTTTGTACTCGAAGATTTTACATATTAGAGGATACTCAGCTGTGAATACCTGTTACATGCATTTCTACTTTCACATAAAGCTCTTCTTCTAACTCAGCCACGGTATTCAAATCAATATAAGCATAAAATAACACATTCAAGCACTACATAGGAGGATCAGATACTTCTGTATAAATTGTGGAAGAACAGATTGGAGCATGTTCTGGTGATGATTTGGAGTTAAGAGGCTCCTAGATACACGTGTGTGCCTGAGAAAGAGAGCCTAAATTATCTTTCACATGGAAAGAACTTAAGATGTATGTACCATATACTGCTACACGCATGTGCATACACATGAAGGGATAAGCGCTATGATTGCATCAGATGATCAAAGATTGTTAAATAAGCACCCAATTGGTTGCATAGGATTAAGTGCACTACCAAACTTAAAGATAAGCATGCTAAAAGAAAGGTCCATAAGTCTTCTAACATGCTTATCTTTGAGTTTGACAGTTCACATAATCTTACACAACCAATGACCACTTATACAAGTCTTAGATAGTAGTAAAAGAACTTAGTGGGGAGCAAAACCATTTGCGACATTCATAAAAATATTGACTTGTGAAAACAGATATTGTTTACATCAGAAGAGTAGAACTTAGAGAAAAAATTAAACTATCTTCAGGATGACACAATTATAATGTGGCTCAATGTTGTTTTCTATAGGTTTAACAAAACTCTCTCTAACTTCACAGAGTAGGGGTAAGGTGTGCGTACACTCTACCCTCCCCAGACCGCACTTTGGGGTCTGGACGGCACAATTATAATGTGGCTCAATATTGTTTTCTATAGGTCTAACAAAACTTTCTCTCTAACTTCGCAGAGTAGGGGTAAGGTGTGCGTACACTCTACCCTCCCCAGACCGCACTTTGTGGGATTACACTGGGTTTGTTGTTGTTGCTTAGGCCCCACACAATTAATTAATTCCTTCTTTCATCACAGACTAAAAGGCCTGCCTGTACTTTTGTGTATAGAACTGATAATTGCAAATAACACAATGGCTCTTTTGATACATATTGGGACCCAAACTAGCAACATGTGCCGGAAGTCTGTTCGCAACATTCATAGTGTTTGTTCTACTGCTAGTGCAGTCTGCTGTGAGTCTGGGATTTCTTTAGCTGNCTGCAAAGTTTGCAACATTCATAGTGTTTGTTCTACTGCTAGTGCAGTCTGCTGTGAGTCTGGGATTTCTTTAGCTGAGTAGAGCAAGTCTTGAATTAATCATGTTTGAAGGAGACTACAAACCTCAATCATATCTGACTGCTGTTTTTTGGTTGCAATCTGCTTAATATCACCACCTGCAGGTAAAACACTAGGACTTCTGTTATCCATCATCATATTAGCATCAACTAATTAAGACAGTAAGCAAACGAAACTACAGACAGCAAACTCTGAACTACACTGTGGAAGATACCAGCTTTGACACAATCAAAGGTACAAGATAACATGATACGCCAAACTGACACTTGTAGGGCAAATATAATGATGTGATAAAAAAAATTGCCTTTTGCACAAAAGTGCACTTTTGTCCTTTCAAATTTCATCGACAACCCCCTTAATATTCAATCCTGCATTGGCAATGAATGGTCATCCTCAAATCTTAGTAGCATAGGGGATGCTATGTCACTTAATATGTTAGGCTCTAACAAAATGAATAACGATAAAATATCAGAACCACTTTAAGAACTAGGTGGTGCAAAAATACCAAATAGAGGTCCAGCAAGTACAACAACAACAAGCCCAGTGTAATCCAACAAAGTAGGGTGAAAGGGTAGTGTGTACGCAGACCTTACCTCTACCTTGTAAAGGTAGAGAGGTTGTTTACGATAGACCCTCGGCTTAAGGAGAGTTGAAAAAGAAGCCGAAACAACAAAACAGTAACAACAAGAGAAGATAAATAAAATACAGTAAAAAAATGTGCGGATAAGAGAATACAAGAAAACGAGACTAATATCAAAACTACTCGCACGAAAGAAAGACACGCACTGCAACCTACTAACCTTCTATCCTAATTCTCGACTTCCACACCCTACTATCAAGCGTCACGTCCTCAGTAAGCTGAAGCTGCTATGTCCTGCCTTATTACCACTTCCCAATACTTCTTAGGCCTACCTTTACCTCTCCTTAGCCCGCCATGACCAACCTCTCACACCTCCTCCCAGTGCATCTATGCATCTGCTCTTCACATGCCCGTACCATCTCAGCCTTATTTCCCGCATTTTATCCTCCACGGGGCTACTCCCACCTTGTCGCGAATATCTTTATTCCTAATCTTATCTCTCCTGGTATGCCCACACATCCATGTTAACATCCTCATTTCTGCTACTTTCATCTTCTAGACATGAGAGTGCTTGATAGGCCAACACTCCGTCCGATATAACATAGTCGGTCTAACCACCACTCGGTAGAACTTACCTTTAAGTCTTGGTGGCACATTTTTATCATACAAAACCCCGAAAGCGAGCCTCCATTTCATCCACTCTGCTCCAATACGATGTATGACATCCTCATCAATCTCCCCTACCTTGGATTATTGACCCGAGGTACTTGAAACTCCCTCTCTTGGGAATGACTTGTGTATAAATCCTCACTTCCCCGTCCGCTTCATGAATCACCTCGCTGAACTTGCACTCCAAGTATTCAATGTTAGTCCTGCTCAACTTGAAACCTTTAGACTCCAGGGTCTGTCTCCAAACCTCCAACCTTGCGTTAACATCGCATCGCATCTTGTCGATCAGTACTATGTCATCCGCAAATAACATGCACCACCCATCACGTAAATAATAGAAAGAAAGTTACCTGCTGAAAAGGCACGGGGGGAGCTGCTGTCGACCAAAACACACTTCACCTTTGGGTTTGTTTCCCATTCATCCATGAAACTCTTGTATTTGATATCCATATCTGCATCATATTTCAATGAAATATGAATGCAACAAAGATCAAATTAAGCAAATGATAATGCTAATAACACTAACATTGATTGATGATATCACGACATAGTACTCTTGGAGGGGATGTTGAGAAAGAAAAGGTGTAGCCAAAGTTCATTTAGGATAGATTTCAAAGCACATCTTATTGCATCAGTTAAATGAAGTAAATATCATTGGGACAAACTAAAGACCTAAAACTGGTTTCTTAATATGTTCATTTCTGATCTTGGAGTGAGTCATCTTGTTCCTGCTCCCTAAGAAATTAAACTACAATATTTTCTCCTGTTTCCATAGGTTCAACATCGTTCTAGTATTAAAATCATAATCGATGCAGTTTTAGTACACGAGTCATGATTATAACCACGTCATCTTTAGAACATATTCTTTGATAGGTTACGACTGCTCATTAGACAGTTTAGTTGAATAAGGCCACAGCTTCTGAAATAAGGCTTACATGAACTTGTATCCTGATCATAGCTTGTAATTTATTACTTTAGGTATTTTTTATAAGGAAAAATTAGATAAGCAAATAACCATAGCTTGTGATTCAGCAAATGCCAAATGATTTACTGGACAAGCTTTTTTTTTTTCAGGCTATAATTAAAAAAACTAACAAACTCCATTAAGTTGCCGACTCATGCACCTCAAAGTGAAACATTTGGCACCTGATCCTAAAGAAGCACAAAAAACAATAATTGTTAATAACTTCTTAGCACTAAAACCAGAAAAAAGACACGAACAATTTGCAAAAATGAACTGACATGACTAAGAAAAACTGAACAAATATTATCCGGCTAGGATCCACAATTACACATTACATACAGAGAAGTATAAGAATCGAAAATTCACCTAAATTCATTGCATTGAGAGCTTTAGGACGATCGAGAGTGATAACAGCGACGCCGTTAGGGTGGACATGTCCTTTGACGAATTCATCGGCGCCGGGGGCCATGATTGCCAAAGTTCGAAGAGTAAGAAACGTCGTCGTCTTTGAGTAATAAGGTAATTGGGAGTGAGAAATCCTATTTTTGAAGAGAGGAGCTGAGAGAAGAGTGGTGGATCGACTTAGCTTTAGAAGGTGAGAAGCACCAAAAAGTCTTCCCATCCTTTTCCCAGAAAGTGCGTGCCTGGATTACAGAATTGTTTAGTCTGAGTGCGTCCTGTAAGTTAAGTTACACATTCGGCATTTCGGCCAAAAATTATTTGCATTCAGTCTGAGTGTGGCGTTGCGGGTAAAGTGACCAACTTTTTTCGGGACGTTAAAGTAAATTTTTAATTTTAACATTATCATGGGAAAATATTCTATGAATAATATCCGGTTGTTAAAAAGTAATTTATTAAATAAAAACATGCGCATGTTATAAGAAAAATCAAATTATGATGGATGTATATTCTTCCTCCATGATCTTCTCAAATATTTAATAACATATTCAATGATATATTTCTATGCTTAATGACATATTCAATGACATATTTTTTTTACTTTTCATGCTTATATAAAGGCCTTGTAATAGATAGAAAAATACATACAATTGAAGAAGAAAATCTCCTCCTTCTCTCTATCTCTATTTCTTGTTCATGTTTTACTAAATTACTTTTATTTTATAACAACATTTCTTGTTCATGTTTTACTAAATTGCTTTTATTTTATAACAACATTTCTTGTTCATGTTTTACTAAATTGCTTTTATTTTATAACACGTTATCAGCACGAATTGCTCCTTTCATGATTATTATAAGCATACAATGAGATCAATGAAAAATGTCTTGGATGATAATACAAAGATAAGTTTTACATCCATCTAAACTCATTCATACTTTCATATCTTTGCATTAACTTTATGTGCAGTGTTTAGTTAAAATATTTTTTTCAATTGTATCCAGTGAAATAAAGAACTGAAAAGGTATGTCTTTATTTGCTACATCTCTTATAGGACAATGATAATATTTCAATGTATATATATATGTTCTGACCGTTTACATACTATGGTAGATAATTATTAAGGTAATTTAGTAATAATTTTTTTACCATCACATGATGTATTTCATTAAAAGCAAAATTATCAAATATGTAGGCGATTTTACAGTACCTTGCAAATTTGGCATTCGAATATACAATCAATACAAACTCATTATAGTTATAATTTATAATAGTCACGGTCATGCATTAAGCCTTAAATATTTTTGCTGGAAACATAAGGCTCATTCCTCCGTTTTTTTTTTTTTTTTTTGAAGTTCTTATAGTTTTTGAAATATAAGTGGTTATAGGTTATCTGCACCTTTCCCATAATTAATTTATTAAAATATAAAAGTGATTGTATCATTTTTTTTTTAAAAAAAAAAATTGGCATATATCCTAACTAGCATTTTTGTTGCAGAGGAACTGTTTCAAGATTGAAATAGTTATATATGTCTTCTTGAAAGTTAATTTACTTATGCCTATAATTATGAAGTAATAATATTTTAAAGGCTCAAGTGTAAGTCCTATTGAATTTTGGCCTATTATGCCAAAGATTGAGGGTAAGACGATGGGTTCAAGTCCCAACGCACTATGTTGATGAAAAGATGTTGGATTCAAGTTCCAACGCATTATGGCCTAGCATGCCTTTATATGGGTAAGGTATTGGGTTTGAGTCCTAATGCACCATATTGATTATAATAATAATAATAATAACTAAAGAAAAATAATATATTTTTCATGAAAAAGCATGAAGCTTGTCCCACTTGATTTGCTCCATTCCTGAAGTGAACGTGATAGCAGTGCATGATAAGTCTAAATAAAGACAAGTGGTTGACCAATGAATGTGGGCGAGCGAAAGGCCAAAATAACAATAGTTATGACTATGGTAATTATAAAAAGGGAGAAATTCTTTGAAGAGAATGTGACTTGTGATAAATATTGAGATTGCATGCTCATTCTTGAAAGTGAATGTGAAAATATATATATATATATATGTGTGTGTGTGTGTGTGTGTGTGTGTGTGATAAAGATTATGTATAATAATGTACTTGTGCATGATTGGATAAATATTATAACTCGCCTCTAAGAGAGGTTTGAGACAAAGAAAGATAATGAATATTACTGTGTAGTTACATGAATATATCATTGGTTGCATACATATGATACGCCAAAAATATTTTGTCACGCCTTATGAAAGTTATTAAAAGAAAAATTAAAGCAAGAAATTATTTTACTTATGATGATTTTGAACATGACAATTATTATGATATGATTCTCTTTGTGAAGGATACATTCATTATATGGATGGTATGATAAAAGATCTTATAGTACAAAAGCAGTTAAGAGCTCTGAAAGAACTAATTTGTTACTACCCGGATGAATGAAATTGTTCATGACATTAATATTATAATTGTAACGACCCGACTTGTCGTTTTAAGAAATTATGCCCCGTCAGTGACTTAAGGTCTCGAGAAGCTTCACAATATGTATTATGGCCCGTGTGTGTGGTCGAGTTTAGTTTTCGGAAGATTCAGAATTTAATTTAAAGAAAAAAAAATTCTTATTTAGAAGCTTAAATGGAAAGAGTCGACCAGAGAGTTGACTTTTGAACAAACGATCCCGGAATGGAATTTCGATGATGGCAATAGCTTCGTATGATAATTTCGGATTTCAGCGTATGTTCGTATTTTGATTTGGAAGTCCGTAGGACAATTCGACATATTTTGGCGAAAGTTAGAAATTATAAGATTTTGAAAAAAAGTCCGATCGAAGGGTGAATTTTTGATAACGAGGTCGGATTTCAATTCCGAAAATGGGAATAGCTCCCTTACATCAATTATGACTTGTGTGCAAAATTTAAAGTCATTCCGGATTGATTTGATACGTTTCGGCGCAAAATATAGAAGTTGAAATATTTGAAAACTTATAATTCGATTCGATGCGCGATTCGTAATTTCGGTGTTGTTCGGTGTGATTTGAGGTCTCGAGTAAGTTCGTAATGTATTATGGGACCGGTTGGTATGATTGGTGGAGGTCCTGGGGGCCTCAGGTGTGTTTCGGGGTGGTTTCGGATCATTTGGAGTTGTTTTGGAACTGCTGATTCTGGTGTCTGGTTTCCTTCTTCGCGAACGCGAAGGAGAAATTTTGGGGGTGCTGGATATGACCTTCGCGAACGCGAAGGAGTGGACGCAAATGCGAGACAAGGTCTGGTCAAGCTTATGCGAACGCGACGCAGTGGTCGCGAACGCGAAGAAGGACGGGGAACGGGGACCTTGAGCCATTAACCTTTCGCGAACGTGAAGCATGGACTGCGAACGCGAAGAAGGAGGGCAGTTAGCTACCACAAACGCGAGAGCTCGAATGCGAACGCGATGCTGTGCATGGTCAGGCCTTCGCGAACGCGACACTGGTCACGCGAACGCGAAGAAGAAAAGCCTGGGCAGTGAGTTTAAGTTCAGAAAATGGGACTTTGTCCCATTTTTTATTTTTGACGGATTGGAGCTCGGGATGAGGTAATTTTTGGGAGATTTTTAGAGAAAACAATAGGGTAAGTGTTCTTGACTCAATATTGGTTAAATTACCCGAATCCATGGTTATTTTTAATATTTAATCGGTGAATTAAGTTAGAAAAATTGTGAAAACCCTCTTGATTCAATTTAAGATTTGGAGGTCGAGTTGTTATCAGAATTGAATAAAATTGGTATGGTTGAACTCGTATCGGAATGGGCGTTCATATTTTATAACTTTTGTTGGGTTCCGAGACGTGGGCTCCAAGGGTATTTTTGGGTTAAATTTCAGATTTTTGTAGAAAATTTATATTTTCATATGGAATTTATTCCTACAATTTGTATTGATTGAATCTAATTAATTATGACTAGATTCAAGCCGATCGGAATCAAAAAATCGAGGAAAGGGCATACTACTTGACTGATTGAGCGCAGTTTGAGTTAAGTATCTTGCCTAACCTTATGTGGGGGAACTACCCCTTAGGATTTGAGTCATTTATGTTGATTGTAGTCTGTGTACGCGAGGTGACGAGTGCGTGCTTGGACTTATTTGTGGAAAGTTGGCCTTTTAGGATTCTTATGTCCTTATATTCATCGGGCATGATGTTGTTTTTGATACGTTTGAATTCCTATTTGCTAGTTTCACCTCTACATGCTTTGATTAGAGATAATTGCTTTAGGATTCACTCTTACTGTCTATTTGACCCTTATTCGACTTAACCAAAGATTTTACCTCTTCTATCGTCGTGCTATATTTTTCATAACTGCTTATCTTAAATTAAAATTATTATTTTTCTCATCCTATAATTGTTCAGTCTTAATTGGAGTTATGATTATCTTCTGCTGCTTATCCTTACTTGAATTGTTGAATATTCCTCGTAATTGCTCGACCTCAAAAGGAGTCTAGATAACCTATATCTTAGTTGACTTGCCATTATTTTTTGAACTATTTGACTCGTGTTGGCTTCTTATTGTTGACTTGAATATTGTGGAATCGTTGCTACATTTTTTTTGTTTTGTTTTCCCTTGTTAAGTTGTTCTCCTTGTGCCTAGCATTCTTTACTGTGGTTATTCCTTGTGAATGAGTTCTACCGTTCTTGTGATTTAAATTCTTGAGTTGATTTGCTCGTCGTACTTTGCATTTCTGTTATTGTTGCTTTTGTACTCGTTGTGGTGATATACGAGGTTTCTATCGTGTTATAGTTGTTATCTCTGTTGTTTGCGCTGCATATTTAAATTAGGACTACGGACGTATTCCGGGAGATCCCCCAGCACTGCATATTTAATTTGGGACTACGGACGTATTCCGGGAGATGCACCAGCACTGTATATTTATTTTGGGACTACGTACGTATTCTGGGAGATCCCCCAGTACTGCATATTTATTTTGGGACTACAGACGTATTTCGGAAGATCCCCCAGCACTGCATATTTATTTTGGGACTACGGACGTATTCCGGAAGATCCCCCCGCACTGCATGATTAATTCGGGACTACGGGACGGTATCCCGGTAGATTTTTCCTGTGGTTATATCTATATTCGGAGCTGCTAATCTTCCATGCTTAGGTGTCATAGGGTGACTTATACTCGAAGGACATTACTTGAAAAGTTTATATTTGAAAAGTATTTATCTTGAAGGAACTATGTTTGAAGATATTTATTTGAAAGGGTTATACTTGGAAAGTATTTATCTTGAAAGAACTATGTTTGAAGGCTAAATAT